ATGAAACAGCAATTATATTAAAAGTACAAATATTATGTGATTGTAACCAACATTCAACATTTGATGTTTCAGAATGAACAGTTTCTCGAAAGATTAAAACTAGCTGTAAATTTTGCCGGTGGTAAAGTCTATCATGCGTAAAATACTCGAACCTTTATATTTTAATAGATATCAAACATCTGCTCTTCGCTTACTACTATTTGTAAAAAAGATGAGACTGATGCTCGCCACAATATAGGTAGTTCTATACTTATTGTTTCAAGATTTATTGTATTTTTGAGCATTATCAAAGAAAAATCCTATTTGTTTGACATTGTTATGTTAGTTTTTTTTACTATTCTCTTCTGCTTAATCGACTTTTGACATAGAAATTATTAATGACTCTAAAAAGAAATAAAATTCGAAAAAATTTCGTAATTTTCTGAATATTATAATAATTTTTCCATAAATCTCGAACATTCACGTTACATCCTCTGTCACACGCTGAATTTAATATTTTATCGAAGAAAAAAAATTCGAAGGCCTGGAAAGTGATTTTCTCACTTGAACAATAATGAAAAAGAGCCGTTAATGAGCATCGGGAGCAAATTACAAGCTAACGCACGTGGGAGTTTTTTATCCCCTCAGCGCGTAGAAATATAACGGGGCTATCTATCACAATGGAAGGGACAATGATGCAGAGAGCACCGCTACTGTGAATTTGCTTCTCATTGTTTTTTTTTTTTTTTCTTTTTGACGTATCGAAGCGACCTAAAAATTATAACGCTGTCTACACCATATCATATTTTATCCATTTTGGGATATCTGGAGAAACAGCGCCATCTGCATGGAACAAAATCGAGGAGATTAGGAATAAATGTATAGAGCTTCTAATTTTTTTTTTTTATTGTATCTTCCACGGCTAAAGTGAGTTTACGTTTTTGAGTAATTATTTCAAGAGAAAAAAATGGTTTTGTATCTGCTACAAGATAAGAGAAGAAAAATCTTTTTACAAAAAGAATACATATTATGTACTGTGTGAATAAGTGCTGCATAAAGAGAATATGTATCCATGAACGTATATGACATGCGGGCATCCAATCATCAACATTGTAACGAATTAAAAAGGGTCAATGATAATGATGAGGCACCATGTGGGGTTATTGAGCTGTTAGTGAGGGTTACGTAAATAGGCAACATCAGTTTATAAGTCAAAAATTAAATCTATAGATTTCCTATCGAAAACATTTTTTTTACGGATTTTAGTAGCTCAAATATCTATGTCCTCGATTTCTCCGAATTTGCTGGACTAAAACCAATACTTTACTTTTCCACTCGAAATTCCAAATTGCCTCTGTCCATTAGGATATCGTCATTTAAGCTTGGCGTCCACAGAGCGTCGCTCTGTTTGTTGACCTGCAACGTTGCAGTGGCAGGCGAAAGGAGGAGGAGAAGCAGCAGGTCTAAGCGAGCTGACCTACATGCTCGTAACCGGAAAACTACCTTTGCAGGTGGTCTTTATGTTGTATACAACAACGACGAGGAAGGGAACGTGATTTTTTTTCAAGATAATTCAGTAGTGTGTGAAAAGATGAACTTCTCAGAAATTTTATGAACAGTCGTGAAAAAGATGGTGTGAGGTGTTCTTTTGTTTAAAAAATTTTTTTGATTACACGATGTGCAGGAATCACTCAACAAAACACCTCGAAATTATGAAAAACAGAAAAACATAAGTTCAAATCGTACGTCGAATTACGAGGGCACGCAGCGAAATCGTTTCTGCCGCAGTGTGAAAACGATTCTTGCATACGAAAGCAAGCACTACCATCGCTATCCAGCACGAGAATCAATAGATGCCGGAACATGCACCAAAAAATTTTGACTTTAAATACACACTCTTCTTCTCTGAATATAAACATTATTTATACTTGGTTTTTCGTGATTCGCCCCAAATAAGTTGTCAAAATTAAAAATGTATGTGAGTGTGCTAGTCGCATTTTTTTACTTAAAGTTCTATTACGTTTCTTTTGTGATTTATATAAAAATATTAGAAAAAAATGTGTTTGCGTGTGACTCGAATAATCATTATTGCAAAATCTATAATCTGTTCATGATAAAATTTCTTACTGGTTTTTAAAAATTTTGATTTTTTTTTTAAATACAAAAATTAACCGTAATTTCTTAAATAGTAATTTGTATACTATCTAACAACAGTTAAAAAAATTTTAATATCCAAACCCTCTGTAATAACGTACAAAATGTTTAGAAAATGAATTAATATATTTATAAGTAATAAAACATTTGATACTTATTCGTATGAAAAATTTTCTCCACTAAAAAAAAAAAAAAA